ACCGAGGTGTTTTGGCCGCAGGCGGTGGCGGAGGCGCGGGCGCTGGGGGTGGCGGAGGCACGGATAGGGAGAGGAGCAGAGCGGAGGGGTGCTAAGCCCAACATATCCGGTTCTTAGAGCAGCGCTAGGAGCACGTCGGAGCGGACTCAGCAATGTTCCCCGCGGAAATCCAACCGCCGGCACGCCTTCTAGACCAACCCTACATAGGCCATAGAAAGCGGAGGGGCGTGGAATGGATGGCGGAGTGGGGCGGCAACTCTAGGAGGGTGAGGGGCAGCGAGAACCGAGAAGAGACCGGGGCCGGCCGGCCGGGCGGGTGGCTCTGGAACAGGATTACAAGAAGGATTTTTTTTAGCAGATATTACAGGAAGGAACTACTCCGACCTAATTTTTTACAATTTGACCTTTTTTTTAAGAAAATTTACATTTGGTTCTCTGGGAGACTTAAACTAATTTTTAGACTCTGGGGTCGGCGTCATGAGTCCTGGCACCAAGGTAACACGTCTTAGCGTCACAGATCTTAACGTCGAGGTATCCGATCGTGCACAACAGAAAATCCCAGATGACATTGACGTGACCGGTAACTGAACGCTAAAATACATGGCGTTGAGCTCAGCGCCACATTTGTTGGCGCCGATCTGCGCACGCACCCGCGCGCGCGACGGGATGGGTGCGGGAGACACGGCCGCCAGGCGGACTGTGGATACATCGTGTCCCTGTCACGTACTAGTACATACATGTACTGCACGTATGTCTCTCGATCGCGCTCTCTCTCTCTCTCTCTCTCATCCGTGACGACCTGAACAGCAGTTAGTGAAGAACAGCTTTTCATCCTGTGCGTAATTGAGTGTCTTTGTTTTGCATCTAATGGCCTAGTGTCGATTCAAAACCTCAATCTACAGAATCTAAACACCCAGGACAAAATAGCATGGCTTGCGTTAGGCTCTTCACCACAAGTACAAATCAATGTGACAGTTGCGCTAAACACCGAACATTGCTGACACTTGGTCTTTCTTTTGCATCTAATGGCCTAGTGTCCATTCAAAACCAGAATCTACAGAATCTAAATACTCAGGTCAAAATATCATGCCTTGTGTTAGGCTCTTCACCACTAAGTACAGATCAATGTGACAGTTGCGCTTAACACCAGACACTGCTGATACTTCACCAGGGACATTTTTGGAAAGTTAGGATTTCTCAAAGTTAAGAGTTAAGTGTGTGTCCAAGTATTTTTAGTTAAAAAAGTATTTCACAAATACAAAACTAACCCCTCAGAAGGGACCAGGTCATGTTTAGATTGTAAATTTTTGCAATCTGGACACTGTAGCATGTTTCGTTTATAGTTGACAAACTTTGTCCGATCATGGACTAACTAGGCTCAAAAGATTCGTCTCGTGATTTACAACCAAACTGTGCAATTAGTTACTTTTTTTTATCTACATTTAATGCTACATGCATGCGTCCAAAAATTGATGTGATTGAGAGAGAGTGAAAAAACTTAGAACTTTGATGTCATCTAAACAAGGCACTCAATTACGCACATAGTCTTGGTAAGAGATCTATGTCAGTCTCAGTGACAGATGTACACATATAAGAAAGACACTCAATTACGCACAGGATGAAAAGCTGTGTAAAAAATATCTTTTTGCCTATTGTTTTTTTTTTTGTCATGGATAGTGCTGAGCTGGCACAATAGGCTTAATCTGTAAGTAGTGTTAGCCTAAACGTTTAAACGGACTAAACAGTTACCTATTGTATAGCTATTTATTCAGGCTAAACGATAATTTAAATAGATTAAATGATGATTAAACAGGATAAACGATTGATTAAACGGACATGACAAGCCATTGTGTAGCGTTTACATGGCACGGAAACAGGCTAAATGCCCGTGTAGGCTAACAGTGCTGTAACCAATAACTGATATTTGCCCTGCAGTCAACTCAAAGTCAGTCACAGGACACTGTGTGTATGAGCTAGTTTTTAGTAGACCGGTTACAGTTGTGATTTGGGAACTTCAGCTAGGAGTGCGTGGAGATCAGTGATCCACGTGCTCAAAACATGACATGCTCAAAACACTTCAGCTAGGTACTGGGGAAGCCGGCAGCTTCCCCTGTGTCCAGATTGTCCCTGTCTCAGGCAGCCTTCTCATAGAACATGACGTCGCGCGAGACAACTATCTTGCCTTCACGTGGATCGTAGAGCTGGTACACCTTGGTACCTTCCTCGTAGCCCAGGAGCTCCTGTCCTCTAGCTTGATGATGACCGGCTTTGTCTTTCTGACGTGGTCGATGCAGCCGAATGTCTCGAGGTAGGACACGCTTAGTTTGCGCTCATACCAAGCTTCGAATGATGTTATGCTCTTTAGGGCCTTTATGGGCGCGCAATTGAGGATGAACACCGTTGTGGTCACTGCCTCACCTTAGAACTTTACCGGTATGCTCTTGGGCTTCATCATGGATCGAGCCATGCCGACCACCGTCTGGTTCCGCCGCTCCACCACGCCATTTTGCTATGACGAGTACACCTTGATCCACGCAGTACGCAGCGAACTCTACCGAAGTGAAGCCGCCATCGCGATCAGTCCGCAGCACGTGTAGCTTCATGCCGCTCTCCGCCTCTGCGCGCGCCTTGAACTTATTGATCGCCTCCGCCACCTCGTCCTTGCTCGTCAGGAGTTGTAGCCACATATAGCGACTGCAATCATCCATGAGCAGGAGGAAGTACCGTCGACCACCGTTTGTGGCTGGCGTCATTGGCCTGCAGAGATCGCCGTGGACGAGCTCGAGAGCGTCCGCCGCACGATACTTAGCCGTCTTTGGGAACGATAGTCTCCTCTGTTTCTCGGCCAGGCAGCTGTCACACAGCTCGCCTGCGTGCTTGATGTGGGGCAGCCCTCGGACCATCTGCTTCAGCCGACCGAGCGCATCGAAGCTGAGATGGCCAAACCGGGCATGCCACAGCAACGGCTCCTCGATGTGCCGTGCTGCCAGGCACACCGGCTGCTCCACCCTCAAGTCGAGCAGGTACAGTCGGTTTCGGGACCTCTTCACCTTGGGAAGAAGCTGCTGCTCCCGGTATCTGATCCTGAGGACGTCGTCCTTATCAGTACCTCGCTACCGCGCTCATTCAGCTGACCAATGCTGATGATGTTTGAACGCAGCTGCGGGATGTAATATATATCCGTTAGCACGCGGTGCTCGCCGTTCTGGCACCTGAAGATGATGGTGCCGCGCCCTCGGATCGCCATCCTTGAGCCGTCACCAAACTTCCCCGTGCCGGTCATGTTGCCGTCCACCTCGGAGAAGGCTTCCTTGAAGCCTGCCATGTGGTCGCTGACGCTGGAGTCTAGGTACCACAGCGCTTCTGCTCGTCACCCACACGTCCGAGGTGGACTTAGGCGCGGTTCATCGAGGTTGACAGCCTTCAGAGTCTTGTCGTGCCCTTCCATCGCCATCACCTCTCCTTTCTCTTTGGCCTCAATGTCGTGAAGTGTATAGAACATCGCCATTAGGAGAGTGGCCTCATCATCCTCACTAGCCTACGCTAAATGAGCCTCAGCCTTCTTCTCTTGCTTACGATTTAGGCACTCCTTTTCCCAATGACCCGTCTTCTCGTAGTACCGGCAGGCGTTGAGTTCCACCTTCTTCTTCTTCTCCAAAGAAGCCCTGCCGCGGCGCTTGCCATCGCCACCGCGGCTGTAGGAGGCTTCCCCGAACTTCTTCATCTAGGCAGCCCACTCCTCCTCTATCAGCAGCAGCTTGCCGCTCTCCATGCGCTCGTCCACCGCCCGCAGACGGCCTGTCACATCCTTAATAGTGAGGGTGGACAAGTCCAGCATTGTCTCTATGGAGAGAGCGATCTGTATGTACCTCACCGGCACAGAGTGGAGATACTTGGAGACCGCTTCTTCTTCGTCTATGGTGATGCCATAGCCCCTCAGCTTGCTGATGAGTGACTGCTGGCAGAGGAAGAAGTCCTCCACCAACTCACCATCCTTGAACTTGAGCTCCTACTTCAGCGGCTGGGCCGTCACCTTTTTTGCGTGGTTGGAGCCGACGCGCATTGCTGCAATGGTCTCCCACGCCTCCTCAACAGAGTTCTTCGCCCCAACGGCTCCCTGTACTCCGCTGGCACAGCAGCGAGCATAGCCTCCAACGCTGACATGCCGTCTTCTTCGTTGTCGGTACCCTTGTCAATGGCATTCCAGAGCCGTCGAGCTCTGAGCTTGACCTTCATGGTCACCGCTCACTCGCCATAGTTGGTGCGAGTCAGCGTCAGCCAACTGGTGCCGCTGACCTCCCACACCGTGCGCACGACGACCTCCTGTTGTGGCTGGGCAGCCACGGCAGCGCCATTGCTGTCGTCCATCTCCAAACCGTCCGTCATCGTTAACAGTTAGTCCAGCGACGGCGTTTGTACGGCTCTGATACCACTTGTTGGTCCCGGGATCTCCCGCACGGGTGAGCTGACCGCTCACCGTCGTTATCGACCACACACTACGGCTAGAGGTAGAAGAAAGGAGGAAGAACAGAGCGTGCGCACACACAGCACAAGCACCAGCGTTGACCGGAGCTCTGCAGAGAAGATGGCAAAACTGAACTCGCTCTGTTTATTGAGTTACAGTTGGTAGCTATATATACAACTCTATACATCTAATCCTAATATATAGACATATCAGACTGTTATGCTATTACAGTGACTAGATGTGACGACAGGGCTGACTTTGACGCTTGTCCGTGCTGTATCTACAGTGCGGTATGCGAGTTTTTCTACGCCTACAGCATCAGAGAGCTCTTTCAACACCGCCCCTGCGCGCGTACACCGGAGAACCGCAGATTACTTTACACTCCCGCTACAGCGGCCCCAAGGAGCGCACGTGGCTCGGCCGCGGCTTCGAGACCCGCAGCGTCTGGGCCGGGTACACCCGTGCCGTGTACTGGTCCGTCGCCACGCTCACCACGGTCAGCTACGGCGACCTGCACCCCGCCAACCCCGGCGAGATGGTGTTCGCCATCTTCTACGTGCTCTTCAACCTGGGCCTCGGCGCGTACATCGTCGGCAACATGACCAACCTCGACGTGAGCGGCTCCACGGCCGTGCTCGCGTTGCGGGACACGCTGCGCGGCGTCTCCATGTTCGGGGCCGTGAACGGGCTGCCGGAGGCGCTGACGGAGCAGATGGCGGAGACCGTGCAACTCAACTTCGACATGACGGAGCAGCTGCTCCAGCAGCAGCTTTTGTCCGAGATGCCTAGGGCCGTGCGGTCGGGGATCGCGCAGCACCTGTTCCGAGACACCGTCGAGGACGCGTACCTGTTCCGGGGCGTCTCCGAGGGCCTCGTCGTGGACCTCGTCGCCGACGCGACGGCGCAGTTCTTCCCGGCCAAGGCCGACATTGTCCAGCAGAACGAGACCCCGACGGACTGCTACATCATCGTGTCCGGCTCCGTCGACGTCTTGGCGACTGCTGCCGACGGGACGGAGACGATCGTATCAAGGGCATGTCGGTGCGGCATCGCCGGCGAGATCGGCGTGATGCTCAACATCCCACAGCCGTTCACCGTCCGGTGCAGGAGGCTCACCCAGGCCGTGCGCGTCAGCCAAGGCCACCTTCTGCGGGTAGTCCGGCCTCACACCGCCGACGCCGCCAGGGTGATGTGCAACTTCGTTCAGCACCTTGGATCTCCCGCGTGGAAAGTTGCAAGGGAAGAAGCGCCATTGTTCAGGGAGATCGCAGATCAGATTGAGGCCGAAACCGCGACCTCAGCATCAATGTCGAGGCGGAGGAGCGAGATGTTCGACCCGGAGGGACCGGAAGAGGCTGATCAGCTGAGAATGTCGCTGCGTAGAGAGGCCAAGCTGCGAGTGGTTATCCATCACAAGTCTGAAAATGCTGCAGGGATGCTTTTATGCCTTCCTGGTTCCATGCGGGAGCTGAGGAGTGTTGCGGAGGCCAAGTTCAGCAGCAGGTTCGGTTGCTCGTATCTGCTTTATAAGTCATGGCCTATCAGCTAACGAATAGTATTTTTCTCTCACATCAAATCAGGCAACAATATTTCCAACTATGACTTATAAATCAAACCAGCCCAAATAAACAGGGCGCTGGAAGGTGGTGATGACGGTGCTCAACGTTGACGGCGCCGAAGTTGAGGACATCGACGTGCTAAGAGACGGAGATCACTTGTTCGTGTGCTAGTGCTTTGCAAAATAAGAATGAACACGTATGTACCTGTGTTGACACCCAAAAGGTTGCCAGCGGAGGAATTGGGCCACACCAATAAGTTCTTGGCATCTAGAGAATATTAGATAAATATTTGGTGCGACAAAAATCAAAGCATAAGCAAGAGAAGGACAAAATTGGGCTTGCTCTGCCCTGCCAAACCGCCTAGGCGGTTCCCATACCAGCGAGGGCAGTTCCTCTATTAGTGTGGCTCAGCTAGAGAGCCAAGTCCCATGAAAACCGGCCACTGTCTATTTCGGACCGATTTGTTTTCAAATCGGTTTCAAATCTATGTTCGACGTGGAAAACTTGGAGATTATGTTCTGAACTTGTTTGCTACTGGGATAGGACCACCCCTCTATAAAAACGAGAGGATTACGACCGATTGAGAAATACAACTTCTAATCGTAAAAAACACCAATTACAACTGATGTATTTTTTGACGATTGGAAGTTGGATTTCTTGTTTTAGATGACCTTGCCGATCCTAGAACAACCTCTACGCGCTCCTCCCCGACGGGTCTTCCTGGGAGGTGTTCGGGAGTCTACCAGACGAAAAATGAGCTTCAAAACGACCTAACCAACTTGTTGGACAGTTTCGTCGATTCGTTACATTCTTCCTGTGATCAAGGTCTTGTGCGACCTCGGATGTGCTAACCCTTGCTGGTGTGTGGCCCAAATTAGCGTTAACACATTTTTTGGTGACTCTGCTTGAGAAAGAGAAGAAGATCCAATCTACTGGCAGCACATCGAACAATGATAAGCCTAAGGATAAGGGTGATCACATTGATCCCTTCACCAAGGGAATATCAAGAATCCGACACCAATCGAAGAGCTTCCCGAGGATCTTCGTCAAAAGATCAAGGTCAAGTTCTCCGCCGATCTACAAGAGTTCCTTGCAAGCTGCAATAAAGATCGGTGGGGCAAAGCTACTCAATACCGTGAGCCCATCTTCGGTGATCCAAACGCTTCTACATTCGCTGCACCACAAGTAAAAACTAATGAAGAGGTAGAAGATCCTTATCATACTCATGCTGATTATGCTAAGATGTTGCAAGATCAAAGGACGATTACTGATAATAATGTCATGACTGATGTTAATATGCTTATGGCATGCATGGATAGGCTAGAGGGTAAGACAATCGATTATGTTGATACATATGCTAACGAATCAGCTTCTAAGCAACCTCAATATGGTATGCCTTACAACTTTTATGATAAGCTTGTACGCGGCGGCTAACAAAGCCAAATTGGCCTCTTTGGAGACTGAAACCGATAAGACCAATTTAGGTGGTGTTAGCACATCTATGTCGGTGGTCACTTTTGCTTTAAGTTAGGCTCGTAACACGCAAGGCGTCATGGACCAGTAGTGAATCGAGCTTCAGCGAGGTATAATACAGTTCTTCCTAACCCACCGAAGTCACCGAGTCAAATTCCTATGCTTAGTAGTGCACACGTGGCTCCTACTACCGATTTTAATGAAGCTACGAATAAGTTTAGATATGAATTATCAAAATCTATTGAGAATAGCTTCGGTGTGCAAATTAAGTCAAGTAGGACTACTTAACAAAAGTTGTACTATCCACATTTTGATTTCTTTAAAGCTCCCAATGGTTGGAGGGTACCAGAATTTTATAAGTTTAGCGGTGAAGATAACAAATCTACCATGGAGCACATTAGTATGCTTCCTGCTCAAATGGGTGAAGCTAGTAACTTGGATTTTATGAATCAGCATTCTCCTTTGTCTCTTACCAGTACAACTTTTTCTTGGTTACATCATTACCCGTTTGTTCTATTAGTTAATGGGCTCAATTGGAAGAAGGGTTGCATGAGCACTTGGACAAAGTAATGAGGTGAAGAATGCAGGGAAGGTGGTGAGACGTCAATGCGCCTTTGACAAGTTCATGAGCAAATACAAGAAAGAGAAGACCGATTCTATGAATCGGCTGTTAAAAAAGAGAGAGCCTACACCTCCTAAGCAAGAAGAGCCATTCAAGCAGATTGTGGTGTCACAAGTAGTGACTCCATTGTAGGAACAAGTTGCTCCACATGTGTCTCGTTGGGGTCCTTCGGCTCAACCTCTTGTACAACCAATGTGCGGGGCCTATGGAGTTTAGGTGCCATATTCCGGCGGCATGGGGAGAGCCTGCTAGGATTTCGGCGGGCGGCCCACTCTCCTTCATCAACTCCGGCGGGCTTAGATGGGGGTTCGGGGGGAGGCAGGCCGGTCAGGCGGTGGGGACGGCAAGAGGGTGGCTTAGGGTCATGGCGGCGATGGAGGCGGCCGGGCCAGGGCAGGGCGGGCGCGTCCATGGCCGGAGCTCACCGCAGAAGGAGGAGACGGTGGCCAGGAAGATGGCTGCCACCGCAGGTGCGCTAGGGTTTCGTCGGTGCTCCGTGGCCGTAGAGCTCCTGCAAAACCATAGCGCTCCACGGCAGGACGGTGTACAGCGCCAGGGGCGAGGACAAGGATGTGGGCGCGGACACCGGTGAGGTGGGTGGGGGTGGGGCACGAAGAAGAATGGGCGCGAGAAGGAGGAAGAAAGATGGCGTGAGGAGGAAGATGACTGTCAGTCACCTGCCGCCGATATATACCCTTTCGATCTAACCGGATAAAACATCGCCTCAATTCGTATGCCTCCTATGTTATTTACAGGAGAGCAGGCCGAAGCCGAAGCAGCAGCAAACTGAAACTGCAAGCGAAAGAAAAATTTGCCATACACATACACACTACCCAAAGGCAAAATTAAAAGGCACACTACACAGCAGCACTAGTACGCATGCACGCAGCGATCAATTGTGAGTCTGACATGCGTGCCCGCCCTACACGTCCATTCCTTCGACGGCCTCCGTCACCGCGACGAAGTCGTCCATCTCCTTCTGCCCGGCGCCGTCGGGCGCCACTGCCGCCGGCAAGTTGCTAGCCTTGTACTGGTGGCGCCTGGCGAAGACGATGAAGACGGCGAAGTTGGCGACCCCGAGCACGGCGAGCATCGAGTAGAAGAGGTCGAGCCTGCCGCGGTCGAGGTTGTTCCGGATCCACGCGCCCCTGGTGGCGGCGTCGACGGCGAAGACGAGGAAGGTGCTGAGGAAGAAGCCCGTGGAGAGCGTGACGAGGAACAGGCCGGTGCTCATGGACTTCATCCGCTCGGGCGCCTCGCGGATGAAGAACTCGAGCTGCCCCACGTACGCGAACGCCTCGCCGGCCCCCACGAGGAAGAACTGCGGGACGAGCCAGAAGGCGCTGATGGCGACGTGGCCGGGCCCATTGGACGCGTCGCGGCGCTTCTTCTCGACGAGCGCCGAGACGGCCATGGCGGCGACGGAGAGCGCGAGCCCCGTGCCGACGCGCTGCAGCGAGGTGAGCCCTTGCGGGCGGCCCGTGAGGCGGGCGGCGAGCGGCACGAGGAGGCGCTCGTTGAGGGAGGTGAAGAGCAGGATGGAGATGAAGAGGAACACGGAGAGGGAGCCCGCCGGGACGGCGAAGCCGCCGCCGGCGCCGGAGCCGGAGCCCGGGCGGCGGAGGTGGCGGTCCATGCGCGTGGCCTGCTCCACCGAGAAGGTGGTCATCTGGGAGTAGACCGTCCAGAAGAGGATGCACGTGGACCAGATGGGCAGCAGCTTTACCACCATCTTCACCTCCTCCACCTCCGTCACCGTCGACGCCGCCACCGCCGAACTCGCCTGCTGCTTCCCCGCCGGCGCGGACAGGTCGGCCTCCACGATTGCCGCCTTGTCAAGGCACCTGCATTATGCATTCACGGCAACAGAGAAAAATCGATCAGCTATGCTAGGAGCACGTGTGTCGTGAACTGGGAGTGCGCGCGATACACACACGTACACGTACTCTACTACAGTACTGTACTGTACATGATAGGTACTCCTACGTTACACTACGACAACAGATGTTTGGCCGTGCACCGATCCGACTACTCGGACTCAAGAGCTACGTACTGCTGCTCAGTCTCATTGATTGCCGCCGGTACGCCGTGTCCGTGTCCGAGTGTGCGTGACTCATCACACGCCCGTGCTGTCAGTCTGTCACCACTCGCTGACTCAGCAGAGAGAGGGAGAGGGAGAGGCCGGCACATCGACCAGTTTTCGGCCGGAACAGTGTACGGGCTCTGGCAGCACGTCCACCTGTCTAGATTCTTTTGCCATCGCGCATGAGACTTCCAAGTTCCGTTGTGTAGGGCCTGGCCACTGAGTTCAATAATGAGAGAATTCCTTATAACCCGTTTCTTTTTTGGTTCTTAAAAAATTTATGATTTCTATTTGACATCGAGTTTAACTTTCATTTTTTATACGATACTTCTTTGGATTTGCCATCTGTAAACCGTTAACTGCCATGTGAAAAGACGATTTTGCCATGCACGTCGGGAGAAAGGGAGGAGAGGAGGGAGAAGGGCGGTGGGGCCCACAAGGGCAAAATCGTCTTTTCACATGGCAGTTAACGGTTCACGGATGGAAAATCCAACAGAGTGTCATATAAGGAATGAAAGTTGAACTTGGTATGTGAACGAAATTTTTTTGAGGACAAAAAAAGAAACGGATCATTTGTCTGGTGTCAAATAAAAATTATCTCTTCAATAATTCCCTCTTTTGCGTGTTGTATTAGGCCGTCCCCAACGCACCGCGGTGGCGTGCTGCCCCCATATGCCACGTCCCGTCTAGCGTCACAGGGTTTGATAGCTTCACAGTGTGTTCTCCTTGGCTGACAAAAGGTGAAGGAGTGGATGGAGCTAGCGTTGTGGCAAGGAAGCACACTACTCTAACATTACTATTTTAGACCAGTTCAGTTCGGGATGGAAAAGCAGTCTTAAGAGGTTCAAAGCTAGAATTATATTTTTTTTTAGACGGAGAGAGTACATTTGCCAGGACCATGTTCAACAGAAATTATAGTCTGCGTTGAAAAGCTAGAATTGTATTTTTTTTCTGGACAGAGTGGGTACACTTGCCAGGACCACGTTCAACAGAAATTATAGTCTGTGTTGAGCAATAAAAAAATCTTAACTGCCTCAATCTACGTGTCTCGGTACTTTTTAGTGAGGCTAATACCCATGGTCGCCTGCGTTGGGCGTGCCCTTAGCAGCTACGTAGTACCAGTAACATCAAGGGTACCCTCTCGGTTACCCGTTTCGGCTTCTCCATCTCTGGTGTCCACAATTGAGCCGTGACAATAACACGAGGTTCGGACAAGTGACATGTGATCGTACTAACAATAGACCTGCCCAACTCGCTCCGTCATGCTCATCAGATCCTATTCCTATCGCGTCCAGGACCAGGACTAGGGGGTCGGTCCATGCTAGTGCAACCATCACCATGGAAGTTTCATGTGGCTGGCCAGCTGGGGCTTACCCTTGAAACACGCCGTGACGATGCAAACAAACAAGGACGCAGCAACCGCATGCACGTAATCTCTGCACCAGCGGTTACTACCACGGGCTCGATCGTACGTACTGGTAGGACGTCATCGTGTCCCGCACTATGCATGATTTCCTGATCCGTGTGCCGGCGATGCAGCAAGCAATAAGGCAATGCATCCCAACCATAAAGGCTTCGCTTCTCTTATAATCCGTCTTTTTCAACTTGTTTTTTTAGCCGAAACAATATTTTTATCTCACAATAAATCAGTTGGAATAATGTTTTGACTTATTTTTTTCGAAGCGAACGGAGCCTATTTATTTGCCTCGAGGCTCGAGCTAATTAAGCTACTCTAGTCTAGCTAATAGGAGTGGCTAGTAGATTGTTCGCTGACGCTGAGCCTAACAATAACACACATGTGTGATGCATACCCCCTCCAGAAAAAAAAAAAACGTAATTCTAGCTTTCAACTTGACATGACGTAGACGAGGGAGTGCTCCTATCTCGCTTGCTCTGCTAGCTGCTAAGACAGAGACATCATCGCGGAACGAACGAACGCGACAGCAAATTAAAGGCAACCGAAAGGGATGCAACTGCGTTTGCGTTACCTGAGCCTGTCCGTGTGGGCGACCTTGGCCGCGGCGAACCCGTGGAGCTCGGCGGCGTCGGCGGGGAGCGTCAACCGGCGCTTCCTCCACGCCGTGGCGAGCACCCGCCCGATGACCGTGAGCGGGCTGCCCTGCGGGCGGCGGTACCGGTACCTGGGCGTGCCCGCCACGAACACCGCGACGGCGAGCAGCATGGCGACGGCGGAGACGCCGTACCCCCAGGCCCGGCCCACGTTGTCCTGCACGTACACCAGCACGGTGACCGCGAACAGCGACCCCAGGCTGATGCAGAAGTAGAAGCGGTTGAAGAAGAACACCATGGCGCGCTCCTCCCGTGGGTCACGCGCGTCGAACTGGTCCGACCCGAACCCGGACACGTTCGCCTTCAGCCCCCCCGCCCCCGCCGCGATCGTGTACAGCGCCGCGTACAGCAGCGCCAGCTGCCCGCCGCGCGCGGGGACGCACTCGTGGTGCGCGCGTGGCCCGCGGGCGTTCGCGCACGCCGGCGGGCGCATGCTCGGCACCGTCGTGTCAACCGTCAGCAGGCTCACGCCCTGTCAATTGTCATCAGCATGTTATTGTTAGAATAATAGTCGTGCAATGCGACACCTGCAGGCCACATGTACATGTCACGTACGGTGGCGGCGATGGTGGCGGAGATGGCGATGGTGAGGTAGCGGCCGAGCTTGGCGTCGGCGAGGAAGCCGCCGACGAGGGCGAGCAGGTTGAGCGTGCCCATGAAGTTGGTCACCACGTTAGCGGACTTGGAGTTGGACAGGTGCAGCTCGCCCACCAGGTACGTCACCAGGTTCATGGAGATGCCCATCACGCACACGCGCTCCGCCAGCTCCGTGCCCAGGATCAGCCCGGCGCCCACCCAGCCTCCGGTCCTCGACTTGTCCACCGGGTTGCCCCGGAAGTCCACGGCCTCCTGCCCGTCGCCGCCGTCGCTGCCGTACCCACCATGACCCCCAGCGGAAACCTACACAACAAACGTTCGTGTATGTATATACATGAATCATCAGAACTGAGCAATCATCACGACTCTCCACCACGAGAGGGTGCGGTTGTTACCATTTCTGTGCTGCTGTGGCTAGCAGCTAGCTGTGCCTGGTGCAGGGCTCTGCAGGCAAAAGAGGACTCGCTAGGCAGGGAGCGAGGACGACGAAGAGGAAGGAGAGGAACGTGTGTGCTGTGAGCTTGTCGAAGAGGATGAGGCCGGGTGAGGATTTATAGGGCGCGCGCGCGCGCGGGCACACACATGATGAACCAGCGGCCAGCATCAAGGAAGAAGGGGCGTGGCTGCACCTGCCACTGCTGCTCGGGATTCTCCTCTTGTTACCTTTTTCCCCCACTGTAAATTGCATCAGACTATCTTCAAACCCACCACCCAAAATACAAGACTCATTCAACGTTTGGATAGCGCTACAGTTAAATAGTTTAATATCCATTCGACATCCTCTTCAACAACAGGACCCAAAAGATAATCCTTGCTGCAAATGAGTTTTCTGGAGAGAGGATACTCATATTTAGATTGTGCCTCTCAGATAATCTAAAATAAATCTTTTGTATAGATACTACGTTAAAGACTGATTTTAGGTCTCCTGATGCCTATTTTAAATTTGGGTGGAGGAGACAGTCTTACTTAATGGATTTGGGTAGCGTAGGTGAGGTGGCCAAACTCCTAAGCGAGGATGACGACTGGCGGAGACGGGAGAGACTGTGCTGCTGCCCTCAGCCCGCGCGTTCGGCACTTCGGCCAGGCCCCCGGGAAGCGGGAACGGACGGAAAGTAGCGCGAGGATGACCGGCGGGTTCCGTGGCGGGTGGATGCTGGCCCTGCCAAAAATCTCCGGTACGTGGTGAAGGGGAATTTGCTATTTCCCACCAAAGATTGCAGTTGCAGTGGCGGATCCTCTGCGCAGCATATGATCGTCTTTGGGAAGGCGGTGGCCTGGTTTTAGCCAAGTCACTGTATGCTTCAATGCTTGTCAGCCACATAATCCCCTCCCGTAACGTCTAGATCTAGCCCCATGTTACATGATTAGTATCTGTATCTCCACAAAAGCATCTTTGGATCTACGTTGGCTGAGTGAGTGCTTCTGAAGTGGTGCACACATCGGAGTAGTATAAAGCAGTAACGCCTGATTTAGTCAGTTGATTAAGCCTGTCGATCGAAACGATGAGATATGACGCCTCATCTTTATCCTTTGCTATTGTGTTGATGATGTCTCACCATCAACGCAGGACATGGCAGAAAAGCCAGTACAAGATGATAAGCTGGATGTGGAGGGCATTGTATCATAGATTAGCTGATGTATCTTGAATCCCCATAACGATGGATGTATCTAAGCTTTGATGCTGTTGTTTCCGAAAGGAGACATGTTCTCATTCTCACCCCTTGCGCGCCTCTACCGTACGTCGGCATCACACTTGCCCACACGCGCATTACGGCGCACAAGATTCCGATGATTAGGAGGACAAGTGCGAGGCGCCGCTCGCTCGCTGGCTCGCGCGCTGTGCCTGTGCTCACGTGGGCCAAGGCAACCGCGACAGCGACGGCGCACGCCGCGGCCACCGCGCGTCCGCGCGGGCCGGAGCTGCCCGTCGCCGACGCGTCCGCGTGCCGCCACGAGCGCGAAGTCGGCAGGCCCCCCACTCGTGAAAGGCGGGGACGGCGGCGCAGCCGCCCAGCCCGGCCGGGCGCGTCCGAAACTGTCGCCGTCGGCGAGGACGTGTCATTTCCCCGTTGGGTGGAGCCCGTTGTCCTCCGCGACGTGGACGGCTCCGTCCGGCGAGCAAGAACTCTTTCTTTCCCGGAATTTGGATGGAAGAGCCCGGTGGGGCGCTGCCTACTAGGACGCGCGTGCGCGTGGCCCCTGGGAGTGGGACTTGGGCGCTGACGTGGCCAGCGACGGGTGCCGTCAGCCCAGCCCGTCCCAAATTTGCGTGGTGGAGTAGAGTAGCAGCCTCCTTCATGGCGACGTGTTGCTGCATTGCATGGCTGCAAATCATTGCGCCTTTAATTTTATCTTTGGCCTTTTGTTCTCACTTCTCAGTTTCCCCTTTTGCTACTCGCGTGATTCCGTGATCGAGGATAATTGTCTCTAGTAAAAAGGATCGAGGATAATTGTCTCGAGTAAAAAGGAGCAAAGGTATCGTCGACAACACGAAAAATTGGTGCGATGGCACTCTCATTGGACGTGATGCATGTTTACGTGAAAACTACACATGGTGGTTGGAGTTTCAAGGGCCTCTACTTTAACTCTGATAATTAAGCTAGGGAAAAAAATAAATCTAAGAAATTCTTAAGAAAACCAGAAACTCGTGTCCATCAATTTCAGTATTAAATCATCATCGATATAAGGACCTCTCAGTTGTCCTTTGTCAAACCCTTTTGGTGTGTTTGTCAAGTACGTGGGAAGAGGCATGAGAATTAGCGGTGGGAGTTGATAGATGGAATTGAGGTGGAAAATTGACTTTTATTCTCAATCCTTGTTTGGTTCGTAGAGGGAAATGAGAAAGGGAATTGAGAATGGAATTCGTATCCCCTGTTTGATGTTGGGGTTTTGAAAGGAAAATTAAAAGACAAATCATGATGGACGGTGATGATCTACTTTTCTTTTATTATGAACACAACTCACACCCAATTCCCACCCCTCCCCTAGAGAATTGATTAGTAGGAGTTGGTCCTCTAAACTCTCATTTCCCTTCCCACCAAAACTCTCATTCCCATGAAACAAACAAAAGATTCCTAAACTCTTATCTCTAAACTCACATTCCCTACTTTCAATTACCCCCAACCAAACGAGCCGTTTAGGTTTGATAAAATTTATATAGAGAAGAGTAAGATAATAAGATCAACTGTATACAAAACACAACATCAAATTATAGTTGAAACGTCAGTGCTAGTGCCCGGACGTCCAAACAGACACTCGCGCTTGCACCCTGCATACTGCTCGACCCACGTGACGTCTATGCCCCACCCAACCCCATGCGCGTTTGCGCCCCCCCCGCTCGACCCCACGCGGCGTCTGCGCCCCACCCGACCCCTCGCGCCTCCTCCAGCAGCTGCAGTAGGCGGGTCATATTGCAACATGTGCAACACCATGATCTACTTTTGAAACATCTAGATGCAACAATTGCAACATACGTTTGAAGATAGATGGAACACTTGAAACATTAGCCTAAAACACTTGCAAAACACCTGAAAACACTCGAAAATCATTGCAAACATACTCAACATTCAGATAAAACACTTGCAACATATGTGTGAAACATATACAACATCCAAATAAACACACTTGCAACATATGTCTAAAAACAGATGAAACATTGGGAACAGACGTCTGCAACATACGTGTACAACCATTGCACATATGCAATATCTCGATCTACTTTTGCAACATCCATACAAAATACTTGCAACATACCTCTGAAACATATGAAACACTTGAAACATACGCTTGCAACATGTGTTTTCAGCGCAACATCTACTTGCTGCTTGGACGATTGGAGGCTTGTCGACGCGGAGCTCGACGCCGATGCAGAGCCCAATGCCGTGGAGTGGCGCGCAGCTTCGGTGGAGATGGCGGTGGGTGCGGTGGAGAACGTCGCGGCAGGTGGATGGCCCGGTGGAGAGGAAGGATGGTGGGCGGCTGCGCTGCAGCGTGGTGGAGAGAGAGGACGGCGAGCGGTTGGGCACGGTGCAGAGCGCTGTGGTGGTGTAGTCGCACTGGAGCACATACACGGTGGAGAGATCCGCGGTGGCGTGGTTGCGCTAGAGCACGCGCGGCTGTGCGGATGCGATGGTGGTGCGATGAATGGAGAGGAACAATGATGGGCTCACGAGCAGATAAGGTTGGGCGAGCAGATACGCAAGTGGAGAGTTAGGTTGTTGGGTTGGTGTCATGGCCCATCAATGAGCGTTTAGACGGACGGACGTCCTTAGCACAACATTACTTTAGTTGAAAATAGTTGGTCTAATAATGTTTGTGTAAGGTTGTAAAATATTATTGTTCTTTTTCTATAATCTTATTACTCAGCAGACATATTCGTGCATTGCAACAGAACGATATAACTTGTGTTATCTATTCCAATATATCTAGGAATTGGACTCTATTGACGCATGCTATTCTAACTCCCATAAGCTTAAGTTGTGATTTTGACTCATGGACCGGACAATTAACAAATTAGAACTTTTACCCCACATCCACCACATGCTACTATCCTTAGTAAAATTAGACATGACTCTTATGCTCGATGGATTGAAGGAATAGACGGACTCGGGAGAGAGTGAAGGTCGAATATCTGAGAAGAGAAATTTTTAGTCCTTAATACGCGATATAGATTAAACTTAGGATAGTTAGATTATCGGTCGTCCTTAATACAAAAGACTACATGCCCCATAGGTGGAGTTTGTTCAGGAAGGGCAATACCTATGATGAAGGAGGATGCGTGGAACAGTTAAGGACGTCGTATGTCCGTTTGGCACGGCTCCAACGCGGAACCAGACGAGGCCTAAAATGCTCTACACACGCGGCAGTACCCGAAAGATGCATGCTACCTTCGTAATCATAGAATTGAAAAGGTCTCATAGCACCCAATCTGCCAATCGGCCGGGCGCCGGGGCACGCCTTGCACAACCGCATGCAAGCTCGGCAGCGAAACGTTCCCTGTTTCTCCGCGTGATTTCCCGGAGAATGGCCGCGTAGAGCTACAAGTGAAAGTGACCCCTCGTACGCGGACTCACGCGCCGACGTGTGAGGTCCACGCTGGCGAGTGCTGACTAAATCCAACAAGGACACGTGTCTGTGCAAGACGACTTGCAACGTCGTCGAGAAAATTAAACGAGCTACACGTAGGGGCGTTATGCTGTCTGCGTTTTTGGATGTCGATCACAGGCTTCGTCTTGTGCTAGCAGCAGCCTAGCAGCTCATGATAAGAACTGACATTTAATATTTACGGAAAATCAAGCTTCGAATTTGTAGTCTTTGATTAGCTCTCTTTCGGAGGTGAAGATACAGCACAGCAGTGACACTGACACACGGTAGTTGGCTCTTGCACACCTGTAAGTGT